GTTGGTGGCCCACGCCTTTAATCCCAGCACTTGGGAGGCAGAGGCAGGCAGATCACTGTGAGTTTGAGGCCAGCCTGGTCTCCAGAGTGAGTGCCAGGATAGGCTCCAAAGCTACACAGAGAAACCCTTGAAAAACAAAACCCTTGTCTTGAAAAACAAAACAAAAACAAACAAACAAAAAAACATGTTGGAAGCAAAAATCCCAAGGCAGATACACATACACTCAATATTATCTGAACTCAAAGGAATTTACAATGAGAAAGACTCAAGGGTGTCTATCCCTGGTTCTGAGTATTAATGTGGAAATGGAAGAAGAAACTTTGAAGGCCAGGTCTTTTTGACTCAAATTCTGGTAAGGAACTCAAGACCTCTTACAAATATGTGAGTGAAAAACCCTGAGGTAGAGAACAAGCTCTTTTCTGTCTATAAGACACAGGAGCAGAGTCCTATCCTGGCCTGCTAATGAGTCTCTTAGGAAGGACAAACTAACTCAGAGCTGTAAAGATACTGCTGTGATAGGAATAAAAATTAAAATTGGGTTAAGCAAATGGTGGTATATCCCTTTTGTGGATATGTGGCTGATAAGCATGTAACACTGGAATGGAAATCCACTGCACTATAAAAAAAAAAAAAAAAAAGATGTATAACCTCAGACTCTCCCTTCTTCCATTACTCACTGGAATTAACTAGGCCAACCCAAACAGTAAGTATGAAAAATATGAAAATACATTTTAATCAGTAACAGTTTATGAAGAAGAAAAGAAGGAGTAGGGAAGGAACAAAAGAGGGAGGGAGGAAGGAAGGAAGGAAAGAGGAAGGGCCCCTTGATGTAGGGAACTGTTCTTTAGAAACCTCTATAGCAGTGTGGAGGGCTGCTGAAACTCACAAAAGAAATTCTCTGTCAAGAGAATCTAGGAGATTGGAACCAACAAATCCATGGCTCATCTGATCTCTTGACATGGCAACCAAGGCCTATGATAACAGTGAAGAACAGATATCAGCAATTTAATGTTTAGTGACATCTCACACTGGGAGCCACCAAAGTGTTGATAAAAATTGTCCTCGTGGACAACAGCAGAATCCTATTTTTTCTGTAAGAAAACAATCTGTACAATGATAGAAGTGGAGCAGCATGATGATAATACTAGAATGTTTACTTCAGTGGAGAACTCTGGGTTAGAAACAGATGATATATCTGATTGTAGTAATCCATTTCACTATGCATATTTCCACCAGAATCAAAGTTACTGGATTCAATTACCACTGCTCCCCACCCCCAGAAAAAAACATGGTTTCTCTGTGTAAGTCTGGCTGTCTGAGAACTCAGTCTGTAGACCAGGCTGGCCTCAAACTCAGAGATCCACCTGCCTCTGCCTCCTGAGTGCTAAGATTAAAGGCGTTCGCCACCACCACCCAGCACTCCATTCAATTCTAACTAAGGACCAGTGAGATGCCACTGGGTAAAGGTGCTTGAAATGCAATCTTTGAATCCATATAAAGGTGAAGGGAGAGAAGCAATGCCATAAACTGTCCTTTGATTTCCCCATAAGCATATTACAGCATGTACACATAACAATAAAAAAGATAATTAAGGGTCTCATTTATGATTGATTGCCTGATAGTAACTATCACAAAAGATTATCAGAACTACAACCTTTCAAAAGGGCACTGTAACCTTATACAAAAAATACTTGTGCAAAACTTGTCTATTTAAGCTTAGATTCACACCAACTCCTTGTTAGTTGTTATTATTATTATTATTATTATTATTATTATTATTATTTTTGGTTTTTCAAGACAGGGTTTCTCTGCAGCTTTGGAGACTGTCCTGGAAAGCTCTTGTAGACCAGGCTGGTCTCGAACTCACAGAGATCCGCCTGCCTCTGCCTCCCGAGAGCTGGGATTAAAGGTGTGCACCCCCCCTCCCCCCGGGCCCTTGTTAGTCATTCTTGTAGACAAGGATTATTGCTTCAAAATATTACACAACCTTCACTTTTGCCTTTAAAATTTTTCCCTTGCCATACATAACCTTTGGTGTTGTGGAATATTATTTTAAGTACGTAAAGATGTGTTACATTTGTTTATGTTGTGGAATATTGCTTTAACTAGGTAGCCCAAAAGAAAGCCTGTTGTTACACTTTGGATACACTCACATACCACACATCCCTGTTACGTACTGTTCTCAAATAACTAATGCTACTCTTTGTAGATTGACAAATATGTCATCAACCATCTGTACAGGTTAAATGTAGACAATAAAGGCTAGTGAGAGGACTCAGTGGGTGAAGTTGCTTGCCACTAAGCCTATGGACCCGAGTTAGTGCCACACAACCCACATGGTGGAAGGAGAAAACCAAATCTCACCAGTTGTCCTTTTATCTCCTCATACATGCCCCCATGGTATGTATGCCCTCTCAATAAGTAAGTGTTATTAAAAGTAGAGAAAATAAAAGTAAATTCAATAATAATAAAAAATAAAGAAAGAAAGGAAGACAAGACTGTTGTTGTGGTGATGGGAACCAATCAATGGGTGCTACAAAAGCACAAGAGAGATGCTTTGTGTAAAGAAATACTGCATTAGAACACTATTCTTACTGGCTGTAATTCAGACGTTTTTCTGGGGGAAGGACTTACAAACCCCTTCCTCTATGTAATAGTCATAAGTGAGCATTAGAGAGCCATCAACCTAACAAATATTTAGATAGGCACACAAGTTTTGGCTATATGCAAAGATACAAATAAGACTGTATTTTTTTTTTTTTTTTTTTTTTTATTTTTGACTAGTTTCTTAGGATGGACATATATTGGGAAGCAACAGGTGGGAATACCTGAAAAACATATTAACAATAATGTGAATGAAAACCGTATAGCCAGCCATTAATTGTGATTTAGATAAAAGTGCTAAAATATGATGGCAAAAAGTTACAGCTGGGTGTGGTCACACAGGTCTTTAATCCCAGCACTCAGGAAGCAAAGGGAGGTGAAATCTCAGTCCAAGGGTAGCCTGGTCTGCAAGGTTAGCTGCAGGCCAGGGCTACACAGAGAAATACTGTCTCAAAAGAAAACCCAGAAAGTTATTCACTGCTATCCCCACTCTCTTGTAATATGTGTAAAATAGCTATTTGCTTTGTTATTGAAGAAGAACAGTCAGATGACTTAGCTCACTGGCAAATAAAAGAACTAGCAGGTCTAATTCAGTAGGCTTATTTTTTATTTTTATTTTTATTTTTTGAGATAGGGTCTTACCATGCATCCCTGCTGACCTGGAGTTTCCATGTAGACCAGGCAGATTTCAAACTCACAAAGATCTCTTATGTGTTATCTCTGTGTCTTGAAGGCAAATATTCTTTTTGTTTGTTTGTTTTGATTTTTTGAGACTCTGTATTGGTTTGGAGCCTGTCCTGGAACTTGCTCTGTAGACCAAGCTGGCCTGGAACTCACAGAGATCCACCTGCCTCTGCCTCCCAAGTGCTGGGATTAAAGGCGTGCACCACCAAATATTCTTAATAGTTCAAAAGCCCACAGTGGATGGTCAGGGAGACTGTTACGGTACAACTGAATCAGTGTAGCTGAGTGTTTCTATCACTCCATGACCTCAGTCTAATAGACTTCTCTCTCTCTCTCTCTCTCTCTCTCTCTCTCTCTCTCTCTCTCTCTGTCTCTCTCTCTCTCTCTCTGTCTGTCTCTCTCTCTCTCCCTCCTTCCCTCTCTTGAAACAGTGTTTCTCTGTGTAACAGCCCTGGCTGTCCTGGAACTCACTCTGGAGACCAGGCTGACCTCAAATAGAGCTACCCTTGCCTCTGTCTCCAGAGGGCAAGGATCAAAGGTGTGTGCCACCACTGCCTGGCTGGCCAGATATTTTTCTCTTGTTCCCTGGCCTCTCTTCCCGCTTAACATTTATTTATCTATCTATTTATTTATTTACTTTTCATTTTTCAGAGATAGTGTTTCTCTTTGTATAGCCCTGGCTGTCATGGAACTTGCTTTGTAGACCAGGCTGGCCTCAAACTCAAAGAGATCTACCTGCCTCTGCTTCCCGAGTGCTGGGATTAAAGGTGTGTGCCACTACTGCCTGGCTCTGTTTAACACTTATTTATTTAGGGTCTGGAGTGAAGACTCAGCAACCGAGAATACTTGTTGCTTTTACAGAGTACCCACTATTGATCCTCAGAATATAAAGGGAACTCACAACATCTGTAATTCCAGTCCCAGGAGTTCTCCCATCTTCTGCCTTCCTTGGGCATTGCATGCACAGGGTACATAGACATACATGCAGGAAAAATATCTACACTCAATAAATTTATTTTTATTTTTTTGTGTTTGTATATATGCACATGTATGTGAGGTATTTGGGCTGTGCTGTGTGGAGGTAAGAATAAGACACTGGATCCCTCAGAGCTGGAATGACAGATGTCTGTGAGATCCCTGGCTTGTTACATACATGCTGGGATTTGAATTCCAGCCCTCATGATTGCACAGCAAGCAATCTTAACTCTGAGTTATCTCTCAGTTTTCTTTTTCCTTCTACTTTATCTTAAGAGATAAACTCTTGGCTGGGCAGCAGTGGTATAAACTTTTGTTTCCAGCACCTGGGAGGCAGAGGCAGGTGGATCCCTAAATTCAAAGCCAACCTGATCTACAGAGTTCCAGGACGGCCAGGGCTGCACAGAGACACCCTGTCTTGGAAACAAAACAAACAAACAAAACACCAAGTAGAACTCAGTAAACACCATCATTGGGCATCCTAAGCCTTCTTCAGCAATAAAACTGTCAAGTTTTTGTTTTAAAGAGAAACTAACACTAATGAATATCAATCTTCAAAGAGGCAGATTTAGTTTGCCTTGCAAGGCATTGAGCAAGTCTTGATATACTCACTAAACATATTGCAGATTCCACCTATGAGGTCACTACAATGGGCATAGGACCTTCATGGGCCTCCCGAACACGAAGCGCTTGAGTTTTGTGATCTGACAAAGGAATAGTTTCAATAGTAGCTATACCTCTGATGTCAGTTTCCCAGCAATCTGCATTCTCTTAATCTCTGCAGGAGATTTAATTAGCCGGAGGCGCTGTATCAGCTGCTGAACACTCCGAACCTTGTTCTTGCTCCTGGCTTTGGCTTCAGTCAGATGCTGCATGTAGTCAGAGTGAAGCTGTGCATGAGAAGGCTTCATCCAGTCATACCAAACCATGCTCGTCTCAGCTTAAAAAGGGAAGCCAAAAATAAATTTAGAACCAGCAGAGGATGAAGGTATACATTAGTGAGAGAATGTGTGCTTAACACTAATAAGGTCCCTGGTTCCGTCTCCAGCACCAAGCAGTAATAAACAATAAACTAACACTGGCCTGGATATGATTTTGTAATACTGTAATCACAGCATGGTGAGGTGGAAGCCAGAGGACCAGGCTTAAAAGTAGCATGCACCTTTAATCCCAGCACTCAGGAGGCAGAGACAGATAAATCTCTTATGAGCTCAAGAACAGCCTGGTCTACAAAGCCGGTTCCAGGACAGACACAGCTATACAGAGAAGCCGTGCCTTGAAATCAAAACAAAAACCAAACAACAATAATAAAAATCAAACAACAAAAAGTACTTTGAGATACAACAGGGAAGAATCGAGGAAATTCTGACTGGTTTACAGTATATTAAAGGCCAAACTTTTTGTTTGTTTGTTTGTTGTTTTTTGAGAGAAGGCTGTCCTGGAACTCGCTCTAGACCAGGCTAGCCTCAAACTTACAGAGACACGCCTGCCTCTGCCTCCTGAGAGCTGGGATTAAAGGTGTGGGTCACCACCACCACCCAGCCAGGCCAAATATTTTAAAAATAAAAATGCCATTAAATATACACTGCATGGGAAGTACTTAAGTATAATAGTATTTGCCTCAATTAAATGAAAATTAAAGCATCTCTATTACTTTTCAGTGTATAAGCTCAACATTTATTGGGTTGGTTTTCTATGACAGTGCTGAGGTTGGAACCTGAGATCAGGTACATGCCGGGGAAGTGATACACTATCAAGATATAACTTCAGTGCAGTTTTTTTAAAAGCCTGTAAATAAATTTATTAATTCATCAATCAATACTTCTGGTATTTGGCACATTCACCCATCAAACTACTAACACTAAGACTAGTGGATTAGCTGGGCATGATAGCACAGTCTTTAATGCCAGAGGCAGGCAGATCTCTGTGAGCTCCAGGACAGCTGGGCCTATGTAGAATCCTGTTTCAAAAAAAAGAAAAAAAAAAAGAAAAAGGTTGGGTTTGGAAATGCCTTTAATCCCAGCACGTGGGAGGGAGAGGCAGGTGGATCTCTGTGAGTTCGCTCTATAGCCTGGTCTATAGAGCGAGTGCCAGGATAGCCAGGTCTGTTACACAGAGAATTCCTGTCTCAAAAAACCAACCAACCAACCAACCAACCAACCAACCACAACAAACCTTTCAGAGATCCCCATGTCTTAGTTCCCCTGAGTGTTAAGATACAATATATGTCACCACATTTAGCAATAGTTTTGTTTTTTACAAAAGACATGTCTCTTTTCATGATGTCCAAAGAAAAGCTACCAGAATTATTTTAGAAAATTAAGAACTACAGGCCAAGGAAGGCTCAAATTCTAAATTGGCCTGTCATTTGACTTTACTAGCATTACCTTTCAGTTTAGGGATTAGGTGTTGAAATTCTTCCAGAGTATAGGCTTCGTCCACTCCAGTTAGGGCTATTGCTCCATCCGAGCCAGACCGAGGACCATCCCACAGTTCTCGACCAGGATCTCTCTGAGGCACGAAAAGCATGGCCTTATGGGATGGTAACTGCTTCCCAGAGCAGCTCTGAAGGACCAAAATGCTATCAGGCTCTTGGAATCCACACAGATACAGGAAATTGTTGTCTTGGTGGAATGTGTAGGGGATGTCATTGCTCATGTAGTACGTAGGGTTAGAGAGTACCACCACTGTGTGATCTGTTCCACTGTGCCCTTGTGCTTCCTTGTGGATCAGATCCATCAATTTGTGTCTTCGAAGTGCATATTCTACCTGAGATAGTCCTGGTGTCACCTCTCCTAGAAATGGAAAAAAACACAACAAAAGTCACTTGACGCTTTGAATGGCTATACTGCCACAGTACTTAAAATCATTAACATCAGATGGAGACATCTATGATTACTTCTTTAATTGATGACACAGCACACAAAGAATTAAGATAATCCAGGTTTTTATTTCAATGCAAATTGTAGTAAAATGTGACTACATTTGAAAAATTATGATTATGACTCTGTAAGGTTTTGTACAGACCTTTGGTTCCTTCTTTTATTCATCAAATCACGTCATATCAAGCATTATTCAAAAAATATTTTATTCATTTTTTGTGTATGGATGTTTGCTTGCATATATGGTCTGTGTAGCACATGTGTGCTGGTCCCCTCAAGAGGCAGAAGAAGGTGTTAGATCCCCTGGAAGTGTAATCACAGATGGTTGTGAGCCACCATGTGGATGCTGGAAACTACATCTGGGTCTTCTGCAAGAGTAGTCAGTGCTCTTAATGTCCGGGCCATCTCTTCAGCTTCTTATAGAACATTATTAAGTGCTAGGATATAGTCAAAATTTCCCTGAAATTTCAATGTTAAACACATATTGAAATATCAAATATTCTGATACAGAATAATTAGAATATAGTACACTCTTGATAAGTGTTTGCTAATAATATGTAGTTTTTATTATAAGTTGATAAAATCTTCCTTAATTTCAAGACATCTTAAAAATATCTCTTCTGAATCCTTAAGGCATAATGTATCTTTCCAGTAAGAACTGTCCCTTTTATCTTGTAATTACCATGAACTAGGCAAATTTACTAAAAGCCAAGGTAATGCTATCCACCTGTTGAGGCTTGTGAGAATCAGATAAAGCATGTAGTTCTTTTCTCCCTTTAAGTTTTAAATTACATTAACTTATTCATTCATTAGCTTACTTGTGTGAGTGTGGCCGTGTACATGCCACAGTGTGCATGCAGGGTTCAGAGGACAATCTGCAGAGTCAGGCCTTTCCTTCTACCTGCTGTTCTTAGCAACTGGGTTTGGGTTGTAAGGCTTGGCACCAACAGCCTAACCCACTGAGACATCTTACCGGCACTAAACAAACCATGTGGCCCTTTTCTCTTTTTAGATTGAATTATTTATTTTGAGCCAGGGTTTCTCTGTGTAGCTCTGGCTGTCCTGGAACTTGTGCTGTAGACAAGGCTGGTCTTGAACTCAGAGATCTGTCTCATGAGTGCTGGGATTAAAGGTAAAGGCATGGGCAGCTGCCACCACTACCAGGCTTATGTTATTTCTTTTGAATGAGTGGTTTTCCTGCATGCATGTATGTATGCACGTGTCTGGTACACACAGAGGACACAGAGAGCATCTGATCCCCTCGAGCTAGAACTACGGATGGTTGTTTCATGTGGGTCCTCTGAAAGAGCAAAATGTACTAATGTACTCTAAACTATGAAGCCATTGCTCCAGCCCCCATAAATGTGGTTCTTAAGGATCAAACCCCAAGGAAACTTTATTCTCTTCACTAAACTGCCTAAACTGCATGTGGGTACATAAAAACTTTTGAGGCTAGATTCTCTCTCTCTCTCCCTCTCTCTCTCTCTCTCTCACACACACACAAAAGGTACTAGTTATTAAAAAAGCTCTGTGGGAAAGAGTTATGAGTTGATGACTCAATGAATCTTTAGGAAATGGAAATCACTTGTTTTTATTACAGGTTCCAAAGTAAAAGAACTAATAAAGCAACCATTTAGGGGCTGAAGAGATGGCTCAATGGTCAAGAGTGATCACTGTCTTGTAGAAGACTAAAGTTCAGTTTCCAGCTTCTATGTCTGATGGCTCTTAACTGCCTAGAACTCCAGTTCAAGGGACTCTAACGCCTCTGACCTCCAAATACAAACTCATGTGCACATACCCATACAACTAAAAATAAAAATGTAAAAATTAGAAGGAGTAATTAATCAAAGCGTATCCTTTTGGCCTTCACTGCTGTTGTCAAGAGCCTCATCTGAGGAAAGAAACACACTCACCGTCCAAGAGCACTTTGCCCCACAGCACACCAAGGACAGAGGGAAGTCATTTGCACTACAGACATTTCCATCTTAAGGAAGCTGGAATGTGCTACTTCATAAGACTTGTTAATGTTCCTGTATGTTTCTACCCACATTTCCTTTCTTTGTTCTACATCTAATCAGAGGCTTCCATTGCTTGTGAACATGGTTAAAAAGCACACTGCAAGAGGCTTTTGGTCTTTAGATTCTCCCATGCTCTTTGTTTTCCCAGCTCTCCTGTTGAATTCAGACTGCAGACTCCAAGTCTCAGTTCATGGCCTGAGCTCTGCTTTTTTGTAGCAGCTTTCCAATAATACGAAACAGCTGATATTTTCTGAGTGTTCACTACATGTATAGTACCAACCATGGTGTTCTGGCTCATTTAATCTGTACAATGACTGTGGAGCTATTAATCTCCCTGTAGTAGCCAGTGTCCAAGTGTAAATATGCCAAGACAACTATGGAAAATGCTCTGTGAAAAGGGTACAGAACAAAACCAGACAAGCTTACTTTCTTCATGATGCTCTATTGGGAGTGAGATCAGAACACACTGGAAAGCAGTATTCAACGTGCTCTTGTATACTTGAATTCTAACAAGTATATACTTTTATAATTAATTTCCTAAGAGAAAAACACAGTTAAAAAGGGAAGCCTTGGGCTGGGCATGGTGGTACACACCTTTATTAGGACCTCACAGGCAGGGGATCTTTGTGAGTTCTAGGCCAGGCCAGCCCACTGTGAGACTGTATCAGAAAAAAGAAAAGATATTGGGGCTAGGGGATGTCTCAAACATGAGAACCAACCTGACTTTAAATCCTCAGCTTCCAAGTAAAGAGGTGAGTAAGTCAGTACATGTATAATCACAGTGCTGGAAAGAAAGTGACAGAAGATCCTGGAGACTTGCTGGACTGACCAGCTCCCGATCCAGAGATACCCTGTCTCAAAAAACAAAAAAACAAAACAAAACAACCCCCCCCCCAAACCAGTGTGGAGAATGCTAAAACAAACACCTGAAGCTGGCCTCTGAGTGTGTGCGCATCTTCTTTAACATCACTGGTGTGAACGAACTCACACTTCCGGGCAATTCTCACACTGGCAGGCATTTACACAGCTTCACTTTTTTTCCTGCTATGATAAACATCAATGTGTTTACATCCTGGCAATTTCACGTTCTGTGTACCACTATTTTCTTCCTGCCTTTGCCATTGTTCCCAGAGTGATAAGCTCAACTACAGGATCTTGGAGTTCTCTTAGTAACCATATTCAGCATATGTAACTTGATTATTTATGATCACTCTGGAACTGTCTAGTTTTACTTACTTGTGTAGAACTTAATTGCTGTAGATTCTGCAGTTTGCATTCTATTAACAAAATATGTTTAGGCCAGGCATGGAGAACATGTCTTTGATCCCAGCACTTGGGAGACAGATGCAGACAGAATTCTGTGAGTTCAAGGCCAGCCTGGTCTACACAGGACAGCCAGGGCTAGTGTGGCCCCTCCCTGTCTCAAAAAACAAACAAACAAACAAAACAAAACAAACAAACAAAACCCAACAAAAATCTGAAAAAACTTATTTAATTAAAAATATGTATAACAAAAATTCTTTTCACTTTTTATTGATAAAATTGACAACAAATAAAAAGAGGTAATTGAGGACCTACAGGCTAGTCTCAATCAATCAAAGCTACAGAGAAAGATGATGGACCTACTTGACTCCATCTTAAGATTAAAAGCCATATTGTTACAAGGTCAAAATAAATTCATGTTATTTTGTTTTCTGTAAAACTTGCATTTGACCAGGTCTTGAGCCATTTTCTGGAATTTGACATTTCCACACTTTATACCCTAACCTCCACACTGATAAGATGTTCTGCCAAATAATTTTGAAGTGCTCTGCCAAGTTTGGGGTTTGTAACCCCAAACCCTTGGAAATCCCCTAGTCTTGAAGTTTTCTGGGCTATATAAGTCCCAGTTTTTCCTATGTTCAATGCTATTCTCTCAAACCCCACTTTAGGGAGATAGCCCTGTCTGACAGAAATTTAAACTTGTTTACTTTGACCAAAGAATTTGGGTGATGGTTTTTGCCCTGGCTTGGTGGAATTAACAAAGAACCCATCCCCACATCTTTCTCATTCTGAGACCAAGCCACCGAGTCTCCTAGAAATCGGGCAGAAATCTCAACTCTGTACCAGAGCTAAAGCTTAATGCTCTGACCTAGTCATGCTAAGTTTGCCATTGTTACTCAACAATGGAAATTTCCTAGTTGCCCAAGCAGCAAATGTGTGTATGTGTGAGTGTGCACAAGGGCAAGCAAGATTTTACTGACAGCTCCCTGCAGCAAAGAGAAGTCCTGAGAATGGGCTGCCTTGCAGATGTGCTTTCATAAAAGCAGAGACCAATTATAATCTCAACTTCTGATCCTCCTCCATCTCTAGAGTGGTGGCATTACAGGCAGTATCACCACTTTGTTTTCAAGGTTCTCAGGCAAGCATTCTACCCACTAAGCTGTGTAGTCACAGTCTCACTTACAGCATTTCTTTATGAAATCTAGTTTCCTAAGAAGGATTGCTTGGAAAGTCTTTAAAATATTGGCTATACATTTCCAAGTCTAGTAATTATCTACAGTTTAGAATGATCATTAGCTAAATGCTTTCAAATTTCCAAAATCTCAAAGCAGTAGTCTTTCTCTTCATCTGGTGGGGAGAGTGCAAAGCATTTAGGAATGAACTTTGTACTCCATCAGTAAACTTGGTGGCCTTTGATCACAGAACCAACAGTCTATCTCGACTGAATTTCTTCTGATAAAACTGCTATTTCTGAGTTGGCATTCTGGCATTTTGTGAAACTGTAATTATTAAGGATTAAAGTTAGCATTTTATCTCGTGGAATCAAGTAGAGACAAAGGGGCCCTTCTAATAACATTACTCAACCAATCAAAAGATTAGAGGTCACACAATCAATTCTAAGACTGCAGCCAA